CTATAGGACGCTGCACTGTGTGAGCTGCAATGATCGGTGTGCTGTGCTGGACAGGCTAATGAGAGGCGACAAAAATGTGTCGAGACCAAAACATTCATCTTATCTATTTCTCATTATCTTATGTTTAAATGTGTCACCAGTAAATGCACTGTATATTTTGGCATTGTTAAGATAAATTAAACTGTTTCTAACATATTATGGTTGTTATAGTACACAAAATTTAAAAAATAGAATGACCTCCTTCTGAAGTTAACATGCCTCTAGCTAAAATATCTATATATCCATCCATTCAACCCACTTATCATTCTGGGTCGCAGAGGGTCTGGAGCCTATCCCATAAGCAATGGGCATGAAGCAGGGAACAACCCTGGATGGGGGGCCAGCCCATCACAGGGAACACTCACACCTATGGGCAATTCAGTAACTCCAATCAGCCTCAGCATGTCTTTGGACTGTGGAGGGAAACCGGAGTGCCCGGAGGAAACCCTACGACAACACAGGGAGAACATGCAAACTCCACACACGTGTAACCCAGGCAGAGACTCGAACCCAGGTCCCAGAAGTGTGAGGCAACAGTGCTAACTACTGCACCACCATGTCGTCTCCTTAGCTAAAATATGTAATGTTTATATTATTGCGTCTGTATTTATGTATCAGCTGGTATGTGTAAAAATGTATACAGTATGTGTGTGTGTGTCTGTGTTTATTAGCAAATACAAGGATTATGCTGCATACACAATGATACCATGTGGGGCTGCATGGTGGTGCTGTGGTTAGTACTGTTGCTTCACACTTCTGGGACCAGGGTTCAAGTCTCCACCATGGCTCTATGTGTGTGGAGTTTGCATGTTCTTCCCATGTCATCATGGAGTTTCCTTTGGGTACTCTGGTTTCCCCCCACAGTACAAGATTACAATTCACAAATTACCCATAGTGAGTGGATGGTGTGTGAGTGTGCCCTCTGATAGGTTGGTGCCCTATCCAGGGTTGTTCCCTGCCTTGCACCCATAGGCTCTGGATGGAAAAGTAGCATGACAAGTCATTCTTATGATTTTCTAAGATACATATTCGACCTACATGAAACGGGCATATTCCTACTATAAAAACTGGATGGATTTAAGAACGAGACATGGATGGAAGTTTTTGTTGAAAAATATGCATTATATCTATTATAAATTGTTATAAATTTAATAGCAAAAAACAATAAGGTTAGTTGTTTATCTATCTATCTAGCTATCTATCTATCTAGCTATTTAGCCAAATCAGAGTGGTGGGTCATGTTTTAACTTGGTTAGGTTCAGTAATAACATCACTTCATGTTTATTAACAGTGCACTGCTAGAAAGAACTAGCACGTCCCGCCATGTTGACATGCAGGGGGATTCACCCCCCTCATTAATATCACATGTAATGCCAGGTTGACAAAAACACATACGATTAATATATCTTATTACAGAATTAAAAGTTTTTTCTCATTAAACTTTTTATCTGGAGAATAAGGAGCCCCTGAAGGAAAAAATTAAAATGCAAAAAAATTTAATTGTCTCATGTGCACGCAAAATTATCTCATGCGCACGCAGAAGTAAGATCAATTAAAAAAATTCCACAGGTCCCTTCAGGTGTTACGTATAGAACCCTTACTACCTGTTAAAACGGTTTATTCTCAACTCCTGCTCCAGCAGGCAGATGCTCACTTCCAGACCCGCGAGCAAAGAGACAACCTAGAGAGCGGTGAGCAGAGAAGCACGGCACGGCTTTGCATATAAACTTAACTCACTGAAGACCTCATATAATAAACAACAGTTGACTAATAAAAGGCTATGTGAAATGGTGGAAATTAATCGTATCATTAAGTTTTATAAAGATTATCTTATTTGACTGTGGAAACTGGAACAAGCTTGGTTGGTGCATAGCACAAATAGCAAGGCTGATAACGCCATGGTACACACAGTGTGTGTCAGTCACAATTCTCATCCCACTGTGTTTGCTGGTACGGCATAAGAAAGAGTAAGAAGCCCATCAATAAATGGCATTTCTTTGGAAAACGCCATAAAGTAAGTCGCTCAGTTACCAGAATTATTTAGTTCAGAAATAGTGCTGGCAGAAACTTTCATTTATTACCAAGAAGAGATTCAATAAATCCCATATATTTACTTCTATGGGTCTCTATGAGAAGATCTAGTTACTATTTTATGTGTGTTGTGTTTCCTTCCGGAAAGATAGGATGTTGTCATGAACTGCTCGTACGATCCTCATGTTTGCCACGCCCCCCCGTTACCTCATGTGAATTCCCGATTGTTCTCAGGTGTTCTGCATTTCCGTCCCTTAGTCTTGTGTATTTAAGTCCACATCAGAGTTTGTATCCCCAGATCTGTCATTGACTTGTGTACACTGTGTTGCTTGTCTGCCCTTAATAAACCCCATCCTTTGGATCTCTGCGGATTTGACTTGTCATTCTCCCTGTCCTGCTTGCTCGCCGAACGGCGTACATGACAGAATGACAGATCTCAAAGAAGAAACGCTTCTGCGGACTGAGGATCACCGCGCTGGTCTGCTACAGGAAGTCATCTATTGGCTAAATCTGCCCGAGGTCCGGGAGGACCCCGTGGCTTTCAGTTTAGCCAGCCGGATCGGGACTCTACTGAGTGAGGCACCCCCGCCCGGGAACATTTACCCCATACCTGAGGTACACGAAAATCTCCGGCGGCTGACGGAGCGGATAACGGAGAGGCGGATCCAGCTGGTCAACAAACCAAGCAAGGAGAGTGCTGACCCGACATCCATCCGCTCCGAAGCGCTCCCAGCTTTGCTGCCCCAAGCTGACAGGAGGGGGAAAAAGAAGAAGCGAAAGAAGAGATTGGCGGAAGCACCGACGATCGTTCTGAGGGCCTGCTCTCTCTCTCCAGCTTCTCTCCCTGCCAGTGATCAGGGGTATCCCCGATCACCCTGGACATCACCGCTGTATCGCCCCCGCAAGTATTAAAAGCCCACATCACCATCGCAGAGCTGCTGCTAGCAGTGTGCCACTGCCAGGAGGCATGGCTGGCTAATAGAGGGGCCAAGGCCATGTGGGATGCCATCCCGTGGGTTGCGAGGGCTCTTAAAGGAGCAACGCCTGCTCTTACGGCGCCAACCCTGGCAGCTATCATAGATGTCCCTGTTCTGCCCGGCCAGCCTGTTTTGCCTGTTCTGCTCAGCCAGCCTGATGTACCTGTTCTGCCCGCCGTGTCTGACCAGCCTGTTCCCGTGCTGGCTGACCAGCTGGACCTGGAGGCTGATGTACTGACCCCAGTGGTTCCAGTCCCGGATGCTGACACGTCGCCACACAGCTGGGTCCCAGTCCTGGCAACTGCAGCACCCCCTGCTGGTCCTGAGCCAGCAGTTCCTACACCGCCACCCAAGGTCCCTGCTGTACCGCCGGTCGATGCAACGCCCTCCACGGAACCTGTTCCTGCGTTGCCTGATCCGCCTGTTTTTGTCCTGCCTGTGTGCCTGTGCTGCCTGACCAGCCAGCCCTGTCTGTGCTGCATGACCCTGCCCTGTCTGTGCTACCCGAGCCTGCCCTACCTGTCCTGAAGGTCCTTAAAGGGGCCAGACCTGCAGCGGCTGCTGCTCCGCCCGAGGTTCCGGCGCCGCCTGCTGCTCCGCCTAAGGTCCTAGTGCTGCCTGCAGCTCCGCCCACACCCGAGGTCCCAGCGCTGCCTGCAGCTCTGCCCGTGCCCGAGGTCCCGGCCCCGGCTCCGCCTGACGCTCCAGTCCCGGCTCCGCCCGTGGTTCATCTGTCTCCGCCTCCTGCTCTGCCCGAGGTCCCAGCTCCAAACCCTCCTGCACCTGATCCCAGGACCCCAGTTCCTGTCCCCAAGATGGTCCCAGACTGCTTGACCATCACTCCTCCTTCCTTGATGGAAGGAGAGGAGGAGCTCGAATGGGACCCCTCGGGGATTTCCCTGAAGGGCCCCTCCAAGGGGATGACTCCTCCACCACCACCCTAGAGCGGTGGATTTCGGTCTGGTCCCTGCCTTTCGGTGCCCCGTAAGGGGAGGGGACACAGACGTAGGGACCTGGTCCCGCCCGCCCCACCCCCTGACTCGCCCTCGCTCACCTTGGCTGGGGCTCAGGGGCGCCTGCGGGTACATTGGCTCCTGCTCGTCGGTCACCTGCGGGTCCCCCTCCTTCAACTCGTTGGTCAGCTGCGTCATCGCCTGCCACGGCTCCACTTCCCT